TTTTAACAAATTTAGTTTTAACCAAAAAAGAAGCATGATCCTAATGGGAACAGATTGACGCTGAATCACCCAAATCTCCATGGAACACATTAATGTGTGATTAACACATCATCACAAAGAGCAGTTAGTAGCAACAGAGGAAGAATGATAGACACAAAAGTGAACATTGGACTTTCAGATTTTCTTCTACTATAAAAATGATATAAATGACCTTTGCTGTAAAGTGCAAATATTTTTTTTCCCACATAGGAGTAGTACTCCTGACTGTAAATATATATTTAAATTTGTTAGAGGGTGCAAGAGAAAAAGAGAGAGAGTGGGAAAGTGAGAAAGAATCTCCCATGGGGGATGGTCCCACTGCAATTCCTTCCACTCCATTTCTTCTTTCAGGATTTTGGGCACACATGCACATATGCCTGGCATGATTCCAAGCCTCGAGGTCTGAGATTTAAACCATGCAGTCAACCATGTGGGATTGAGTTACTGTAACACCATAGGCTGTCCTGACAATATATATTCTTAATTATTTAATTTTATTTATTATTATTATTTACTTCATGATAGGACACATGTATGATAAAAGAGAGAGAGAGAGAGAGAGAGAGAGAGAGAGAGAGAGAATGAGAAAGTAAAACACCAGGCACAGGACTCAAACCTTGGTCAACCTTGTGGGAGTCCAGTGCCTCAAACAACATGCAACCAGCTGGCCCTATGACCTGATGATATTTATAAAAACAAACAAACAAAAAACAGGAAACCTGTTGTTTGGGAAGAAATCTCTAAAAATTCATGGCTCTCCATCAAAGAAATGGGAATTTCCATTTCTTCCTGATCTGATGTAGGCATTAATTTATGGAAATAGGAAAACAGACAAAGGTTAAGGCGGTAGTCGATTTTACACACAGGGAAAAGCTTGATAATAAAAGTTACTTACATCTTTGTACATTGAAGCAGAAATCAAAACCCAGAAACTCCAAGATATAAAGGAAAGGAACCAGTTCTCCTTCCATAATTATATCAGAATACTGTCAGTTTTGACTTTGACACTTAAAGTTTTGCAATTATAATCGATTTTTTGAGAGGTTTTTGCTATAGGGTGCTTGCGCTCACCAGACAGACAGAGAGAGACAGAAAGCGAGAAATCACCCCCCAGGGGGGATGGCCACACCGCAATCCCTTCTCCTCCATTCTCCTCTCGGGATCTCGGGCATGCACACACAGGCGTCCGGCGTGAGTTTTAAGCCACCTGGTCCGGGACGCAAACCACAGTCGACTACATGGGAGTCCAGCGACATAGCCATTACGCTCACTGCTGGTCCCATAATTACAATCAGTTTTGTAGTCCCAGAATGAGAGGTCCTTTTACTGTTTCCCTTTCAAAGCATCTCTTCAGAGCCCTACTTATGGCTTTATTCCTCAGACTGTAGATGAAGGGGTTCAGCATGGGGGTGACCACAGTGTACATCACTGAGGCTGCTGCACTTGAGTGTGAGCTGTGGGTATTCCCAGCACTAAGGTACACACCCAGGCTTGTGCAATAAAATAAGGAGACAACTGAGAGGTGAGAGGCACAGGTAGAAAAGGCTTTGTACTTCCCCTGAGCTGATGGGATTGCACGAATGGAGAAAACTATCTTACAGTAAGAGTAAAGGACATAGGTGAGGGAACTGCCAGCTAAGCTCATAGCTGTAAAATACCTCACCATGTCATTAAGAAAAGCGTCAGAACAGGCAAGACGGACCACCTGATTCAGTTCACAGAAAAAGTGAGGGATTTCCAAATCTGTACAGAAGGACAGCCATGATACCATTAAGCTATATAACAAGGAATGCAGGACACTCATGGTCCAGGACGCCAGAACCAGCAACATACAGAGCCAGGGGTTCATGATGACCGTGTAGTGCAGGGGGTGACAGATGGCCACATACCGGTCATAGGCCATTGCATTCAGCAGAAAGACATCCAGTCCTGCAAAGACTGTAAAAAAGAACATCTGGGTGATGCAGCCTGCATAGGTGATGACCTTGCTCTGGGTCTGGATGTTCACCAGCATCTTTGGGACGGTGGTGGAGGTGAAACAGATGTCAGCAAAGGACAGGTTGGAGAGGAAGAAGTACATGGGGGTGTGCAGGTGGGAGTCTGAGATGGTGGCCAGGATGATGAGCAGGTTTCCACACACGGTGATCAGGTACAAGGAGAGGAAGAGCCCAAAAAGGAGGGGCTGCAATTCTGGTTCCTCTGAAAGTCCCAGAAGAAGAAACTCTGAAATTTGTGTATCGTTTCCTAGTTCCATGTGATAAACAAAACTACCGAGAAAGAGAAAAAAACATGAATACTTTTTATAAAAGGTTTTATTGTTGAAATGTTGCAATCATGATTTTGAAGTCAAGGAAATAATTGATATGTATGATTGCATTTCCAAAGCAGTTTATCCCTTATACGAAGGGAAAGAAATCTTCGAAAAGTTCATGTAAAATGTGTTATGAAAAAACTATGCATAGATTTCAAATATTTTTGTACCAAAACAAACTCAGATTTTAATTCAGTTTCCCACAAATGTTTTGAAGCCTTTTGTTATTTTCCCTAGCATATATACACGAATATGGGAGATAATCTATGCTTTATTTTTGGAGAGGTTTTTTTTTTTGCTATAGGACGCATGCGCTCGCCAGAAAGACAGAGAGAGACAGAGAGACAGAAAGAGAGAAATCACCCCCCAGGGTGGATGGCCCCGCCGCAATCCCTTCTCCTCCATTCTCTCGGGATCTTGGGCACGCATGCACACGCGCCCGGCGTGAGTTTAAGCCACCAGGTCTGGGACTTGAACTGCAGTCAGCTACGTGGGAGTTCAGCGACATAGCCATTACGCTAACTGCTGGTCCCTATGCTCTTACAGGTAATAAAGTTGTTTCTAAAAATCAATTTAAGAAACTAAGTTAGCTGAAAGCTGAAAGATTTGAGCAAGGAAGCTGTTATGCTAATTGGAAGTAGATAAGAAAATCTCTAAATATTAACCATTACCTGTCAATTAAAAATGTTAAGATAAGGAGTAAATATATGAAGTGCATTTAAAATGTGCATAGGATTCTATTCACGCTGTTGCATAAGAAGTATATTAATATGAACATTTGCATAATACAGACAGAAAAGTTTTACGAGACACTAAGAACTTATGGATAAAGAACGACAATGAGAAAGTAATTAGATGAATTATAATGGTTTTAATTCAACTATATCATTGAATAAAATTGAGAGTTTAAAGCTGACTTCTTGAAAAAAGATGTCAAATAGTATTAATTTAATGACATTGACATAGGTCATTTATTCGATTAAATTGTCAAAGCTTGGAGATAAAAGAATTTAACAAGATGTCTTTTATAATTCAGGAAGTAACAGTATACACAGATAAAATTTCATTTTGAATAAAGATACATATATATGTATATATATATACATATATAAATATATATGTACACATACATATTCAAATATATCTACGGCAGATAAATGTAATCTGTAGTGAATTTGTAATGCATAATTGCATTTCAAACAATGAGAGAAGGTGATGTAAATTTAGTAAAATTTTCTAACTGGACCAACCAGAGGTGTGGCAGTTGGGGATGGCTGGATCCCATCCAATAACGCTACTTCTGTGGTTTGAGTCCTGGACTTGGTGACTTCAAAAACATCCCAAGAAGAGAATAGAGGAGAAGGGATTGTGGTGTGGCCACTCCTCCAACAGTGCTTTCTCACTTTCCTTCTCTATCTCTCTCTATATATAGATCTCTTTTCATTGAGGTCATATACCCTATGTCGCTCTCTCTCTCTCTCTCTTACACACACACATACACACACACAAAATCTAACCACAGAAAATCAAAAGACACAACACAGATTTAAAAAGATATGAAAACAGCATGAGAACTAAGGATACAGAAAAACTTTGTATGTTTAATAAAAAACAATTGGGGGTGGGAATTAGAGCAAAATATGACCAACTAATAGACTTGGCCCCACAAAACATGTAAACTTTCACATATTCTCACCCAAGGCCTTCTGTACATACATACACAAAAGAACTAAATTACAACAGCCAAGTTATTGGGGGAAAATGACAATACCTACTACAAAAGAATGCAATCAAAATGGAAACAAGGAACTAGCAGATGGTATAATAGTTATGTTGCAGGACTTCCACATAGTCAATCATGGTTCAAATCCTGAACAGGGTGGTTTAAAACTCATGCCGGGCACTTGTGTGTGCATGCCCAAGATCCTGAGAGGAGAATGGAGGAAAAGGGAATGTGGCATGGCCATCCCCTCTGGGAGGTGGTTTCTCACTTTCTGTCTTTCTGTCTCTCTGGTGAACACATACATCCTATAGCAAAAATTCCTCTGGAAAAAAAAAAGGGGGAAAGAAAAGCACACTGAACACATCGTCAAAAGCAAAGGATTGCATAGGGGATTTGCAAAAAGTAAGATACATAGCTAACAAACCCACAAGTGTATTCAGTCTCAAAGGTAATAAAATAATTACAAATTAAAGCTCTTTGATATGCCCCTTTTCACTCAATAATTTATTAAGTACTTTTTATGGAAACTTCCAGGGGGAGAGAAGATGCTATGGTATGTATGCTTCAGGAACTTCTGTTTCAAGGTAAATTCTGCAAACATTTCCCTGGACTGGATCTTTCTTATCAACATAGAAATATAGGAGAATAGACCCCATCTTACAAATAAAAATAATATGGAGTAGGCCAGCAGGTGGCATGGTAGATAGGGTGCTAGGCTTCTACATGGCTGACTATAGTTCGAGTCCCCAACCTGGCAGCTTGAAACTCATGCTGGGTGTTTGTGTGTATGTATGCCCACAATCTTGAGAGGAGAAGAGATTTCAGTTTGGCCATTCCATCTGGGAAGATTTCTTTCTCCTTCTCTTCTCTCTAGTGTGTACACACATCTTTTAGCAAAAATCTCTCTAAAAAAAAAAAAGAAGAAGAAGAAATGGCCTCATTTTACTGCATATCCCTCCATCCATCCATTTCTCCATTCCTCTTACTTTCTAAATATCTGAGACTCAGTTTTTCTGGAAGTGCTTGACACTTTCCATTCTCCTTTTTATTTTTCTTAAATATATTAATATTATTATTATTTATTTTTTAAGAGAGAATTTTTGCTACAGGCCAGCCACATGTGCTTGCCAGAGAGACAGAGACAAACAGAGAGACAGAAAGTAAGAAATCACTCCTCCGTTCACCTTTAGGGATTTTGCACATGCATACGTGCATGTCCAGTGTGATTTTCAAGCTGTTAAATCTAGTGCTCAAAATGCTGTAGGCCTCATGGGAGTTCAGTGCCTTAATCAGCATGCCTTCTACTGACCTCAGGTGTTAGTACGGTTCGAGTCCCAGACCTGGTGGCTTCCTTTCTCCCTTTCCCTCTCTCTCTCTCTCTCTCTCTGTGTTTCTCTCTGGTCAAATTAAAATAAATGAATGAATAAATAAAATTAAATAAATAATAATTTTAAAAAAATAAAAAAAGATATTTCCAAACACATTATCACCCATCAGACTTTCATTAGCATCATTTCATTGTCAACAATGACCCCTGCTTTACTCAGTCCAATGTCCCTTCTCTATTCAGCATCATACATAAATATATCAATTTAGCAAGCAAGTACAGACCAGTCTCAGATGTGGGCTAGGCTGGTCTAGCTCTTAAGTTTATCTTGGGTACACATTCTCAGCTTCCATTGTCTCTGACCTCCTGCTGCAGTGTCTGCTGAGCTGAGCTTGTAGACTCACCTGTATGGGGTCTCTGAGAGGATGACCTCTGTGTGGATACCTGAGTTCCTCCGTAGGTGGTCTATGATGGAGACTGAAGCTGCGTTCCAGACAAGGCAGTGAGGAAGAGTCAAGCATCGGTCCCTGAGCCAGATCGAAAATGGAAAATAACCAACCACCTTTCTTCTGGGCCAAGTTGTGCACTCTGAAGGACAACAGCAGAAGGGATATTTACAGCTCCCCCTACCTGCTCATTAAGCTCATTTCCCTGTTACTCTGACCTCTAAACATGTGTTTCCCAATGGACACTGGTCTGGACAAAAAGGAAACTTTCCTTGCAGATGGTCTGTTCTCAAGAGACCAGCTTAGAAGTCAGGAGAATCCCATTATTATTACTCTTCCCCATGGTTTACCCTGTGTGTCGCACAGGTCTAAGTTTCTAGTGTTCCCTACTAAGTCCAGCTGCAGCTTCTCACAGTCAATGAATAGAGAGGCAGAGGCTGGAGAAGAAGGGAGTTTGTTTCTGTAACTGGTTATGAAGAGACAGCTAGCAAAAACCACCAAACTGTCTTGAAAGGCTCAACATCTTTGTAGTATTTATAGGCACAAGATACAAGCAGGCGCCAATTCTTCCTCACTATGATCATTCAGTCAATTGCTTCTTCCTGAGTAATTATCTTAATTTTTCTTCAAGGATTCATTTCTGGTTTCGTTTCTTTTCTTTTTTGTTTTGTAAAAAGGAAAGTAAATGACTAACAAACCCACACATGTATTTAGCCTCACAGGTAATGAAACAATTATAAAGTAAAGCTCTTGACTACCCCACCTTTCACTTAATAATTAATTAAATACTTTTATATGAATAGTAGTGTGGACCAAAGTACTATGGAATGAATATATACTTCAGGAACTCGGTTGCCAGACAAAATCTGCAAACAACTGTTTGGTCTGGATCTTTCTTCTCGATACAAAAATATAGGTAACCATACCCATCTCAAATAAAGCTTTTAAAAAACCACAAAAATGAAAAGTCATCTGGTGATGATAATGTATGTAGTAATATCCCTGACTGGACTGACATGTATTCTATTCTTGCTCAGAAAAATCACTTTGTATGCTATAGAGATGTACACTGATTAAATGTACATTTAAAAATATATAAAAATACAATAAGGGAACAGCACATGGTGTTCTAATTGAGGTACTGGATTCCCACATGGCTGACTACGTTTGAGTCCCAGAACTTGTAGCTTGAAAATCATGGCTGGTGTATGTGTGTGGAAGCCCAAAATCCCAGGAGGAGAATGGAGCAGAATGGAGTACAGCATATCATCCTCTCTTGGAGGTGATATCTCAGTTTCCCTGTCTCTCCAGCAAGCTCAGAAGCCCAATGGCAAAAACATTTATATATCTATAAATATAGATAGATAGATAAAAAAGATCTGACCATTCCTCAAACAAATCTCCCCTGACTCACTTGGTCAGATGGCTCTTGTTAAAGCTCTCTCTTAATTTCAAAATAGTGGCAGTCCTGCTGGCCTGCTTCACTCACAGCTTAGCCCACCTTTGAATTACCTTTCTCCAAACTCTAAGTTCAAACCATTACTTTGTGGTAGCCTGTGATACCCACCAGAAAATTGTTATTCCTTTCTTTAAAAAGGGGAGAGAGGTAAGTTCCTTAAAACTACAAATACATTTGGAGGAGGAATACAGAGGCAGAGCATTGACGGGAGGTGTGGTGTTATCTGTTGAAAATATTTTGATCACCTGGACTGGGGAGAAATGTTCACATATTGAAATGTTCACTTTGTAAGCTAAATAATGTGATTGAATGCATAAAAAATATATATATAAAATAAAAAAATAAAAAAACTGCAAATACTCCACTTCTTGGCTTCATGAAGCTTTGGTAAAGCAATTAGGAATTTCATACCTATATCACAAGTTATGAACTACCATTTATTACTTCAATTTTAAATCTTTAAAAATATAATTTATTATCATTATTAATTTGCTATGGGACATGTGTGTTCCTCAGGGAGATCCACAAAGAGGGAAAGTGAGAAAGCAAGCCACTATATCTGAGTCTCAAACTGTGGTCAGCCAGGTAGGAACCCCATGCCTTAACCACCACAACTCCTGCTGGCCCCCCTCATCATATATATATATATATATTTTTTTAGTTATTACAGATATGTTGAAATTTTATTCATTATAATGTGAGCTTGGTGCTTCTAGAATTGGTTAGATTTGGGCTAGTCAGGTGGAGTGGTAGTTATGGAAGTTGGAGCCCACATGGCTGACTGCACATTCAGTTCAAGTCCTGGACTCTGTGGTTTGAAAAGCTCACTGGGCATATGCATTTGTGTGTGCAAAATACTGAGAAAAGAATGGAGATGCTGTGTGGTCATCCCTCCTGGGAGTTTATTTTCTCTCTTTTTCTCACTCTCTTTCCAGTGAGCACAAACATCCTAGGGCAAATTACGAAAGAAAGAAAAAGAAGATGCAAAAAGAAAGAAAGAAGAAAGGGAGAGAGAGAAAGAAAGGAAGAAAGAAAGAAAGAAAAAGAAGATGCAAAAAGAAAGAAAGAAGAAAGGGAGAGAGAGAAAGAAAGGAAGAAAGAAAGAAAGAAAAAGAAGATGCAAAAAGAAAGAAAGAAGAAAGGGAGAGAGAGAAAGAAAGGAAGAAAGAAAGAAAGAAAAAGAAGATGCAAAAAGAAAGAAAGAAGAAAGGGAGAGAGAGAAAGAAAGGAAGAAAGAAAGAAAGAAAAAGAGAGAAAGAAGAAAGAAAGAAAGAAGAAAGAAAGAAAAGAAAGAAAGAAAGAAGCTGCCTAAAGGCCAGGATCCATGGCCCATCCCCTCCCCCACTCACCTTTGGACTTCAGTTTTGTGTCTTGGAACTTTAAAATGAACTTGAACTTGCACCCCTCCCTGCCTCATCCTGATACCAGTTCAAGTGAATGGCCTTGCCAGATGCCAGGATGTCTGGTACTTCTTGGTGTATCAAATTATTCCTCCAAGTCTTCCAAGAACTGTTGTCTTCTTTGTTGCAAGTCTAGAGCGTATCATTCATAAATACATGACATCAACAGATATATGGAATGTCTATGTGTCCATTTATCCCTTGGATAGACAAGTTTATTTTTCACTTATTTATTCACTCTCTTAGTCTCTTTAGCAAGGTTATGCTTCTCCACCATTAGCTCTGTGTTTTGTTGTTAGGAGTGTATATCCCTACTACGATTGACTTTGAGCTTGGACATGTGACTTGTTTTGGTTGACAAAAAGTGAGCAGCCAGACACATTCAATGTTTAAAAAAGAAGCTATAAAAGGCATTGTAAGATACCACCACTTTTCTTGATCTTCCCCTCTCAAATTGTCCTTTCTACTCAGAATTTAAGAACTAGTTAAGATATGGATAATCTTTTGAACTAAATATTTTGTCCCCTTCACAATTCATATTTCCCAATTCCCAATGAGACGACTTCACCAATATCAACTCCAGTGTACTACAAAAGCATGATATTAAACCATTAATTATCAAGTTGGCTTGTTATGCAGCAATAGCTCACCATTACAATAATTAATACAAACAAAACTAAAGACATTCAGAGAAGTCTGCTGCCTCTTAATTATAGGAGTTTGTTCTTATATTTGAAGACAACATTTCTGATTATATGGATAATCCTTTTTATTTCATATCATTGTATTTAAAAGAGACTACCTTTGGGGTTCCCTTCTAGGTAACTAGGAAAGGTGGTCAGGACATAAGTATTTTTGCAATAATAAGTTGTGACTCTGAATCACAAGTCTCTAATTCTACAGGCAATACTGTAAGACACTGAAACTTTTCACATGAGTCATCCTTTGACCATGAAGACGAAAGAAAGTGTAAAATATAAAAGGGACATAGAAACTGACTTTAGTGTAAATACACAGATTATTTATCTCCCCTTTTATGTTTATCACAATTTTTAAATTTTTATGTTTTATTATTTATTTTTTAATTTGTTTTTATTTTAATTTCTTTTGTACATTCCAGTTCATGTTACTTAGGTAACAAAGTGAATGTTACAACATGTGTACATCTCTTGCCAGTCCAGTTGACAATAATATAAAGTTATCTTCAATAGATATCACATTTTTTTTTTGCTATAGGACACATGCACTCTCTGGAGATGAGAGAGAGAGAGAGAGAAATCACTCCCCCCCACACACCCCAAGGCGTGATGACTATGCTGCAATCCTTCCTCCATTCTCATCTTGGAATTTGAGTATGCATGCACATGCATCCAGAGTGAATTTCAAGCTGCTGGGTCTGGGATTTGAACCCTGAAGTCAACCAACTGGGATCCAACTGCCTTAACCTCCATACTACCTGATGGCCCTATCACAAAATATTTTAAAGGGAGGATATTTATTAGAACAATAGAAGGAGTCATATATAGACAATCGTTGAGTTTGAAAACAGAAATAGCAAGACAACACAATGAACTAATGCAGAACACAACACCAAATACTTCACTCCAGCGAACAAACTTATACATAAACACCAAGCTTCCATGCTTCACTGAGTAGATATATTTTATCAGAGCAAATCTCCTGTAGTAATTCAATGCTTGGCTGAAAATGTTACTCCATTATATTTAAGATCATCTCAGACATGAAACCATGTTAAGCCAATGACTTACGTGGTTTGTCTTCCTGTGTAGACTACACGTATTTGTTAAGCAGCTTTTTTTTTTTTTGAAAGAATTACTTATTTAATTTAATTTATTTATTTTTAAAATTTGACCAGAAAGAGACAGAGAGCGAGAAAGAGAGGGAAAATGAGAAAGCAAGCCATCAGGTCTGGGATTTGAACTTCAGTTGCCCATGTGGGAGTCCAATGCCTTAACTACCATGCCACCTGTGGCCCCTGTTAAACAACTTTTACTCTTCTATTCTTTGCCAGGGAATGTTGTAGGCACTTTGGGCACAGAGCTGAATAAAAGTATAGGATTTATTTGAGGAAAATAAGATACCAAGACCAGCCAAAACACACTTGAGTAAATGAAAGTCCATATTCTCAGGGGGAGCAATTAAGGTAGTGATAGAGAAAGAAATGATAGACACAGAAGTGAAAAATTGTGATCTTGGGACTGACTAGCAGTTAGCATAATGGCTATGTCACTGGACTCCCATGTAGTCAACTGCAGTTCAAGTCCCGCACCCGGTGGCTTCAACTCACGCTGGGCATGTGTGCGTGCGTACCCAAGATCCTGAAAGGAGAACGGAGGAGAAGGGATTGCAGTGTGGCCATCCCCCCGGGGGTGATTTCTCACTTTCTGTCTCTCTGTCTCTCTCTGTCTTTCTGGCGAGCACATGCTTCCTATAGCAACCTCTCCAAAAAAAAAAAAAAAAAAAAAAAAGAACTTCAATTTACTTTTTTAATTGAATAATTTGCATTTTATTTATTTTTTTCCCGGGGGACAGTTCTTAAGTCCTTAAAGACTCAGCTCTTTACATGGGATTTGGTGGAGGAGGAGGGGCAGCACCCAAAGGTCTAAATTGAGGTGGGGTGTTTGGTCCTTTTGGAGCCTCATGAGATCGATTCCTGACTACCTTGCTATGAATGGCACAACTCACATAGTAACGTAGCTTCACGTACAGCTTGGGGCACACATAGACGTCGAAGACACTTGCTTCGGAGATGTCCCAAACTACTGTGGCCTCTAATATGTTTCAGATGATGAACTTTTGTTTTGGAGAGGTTTCTGCTCTAGGGCATGTGGTCTCACCAGAAAAGACAGAGAGAAACAGAGAGACAGAAAGTGAAAAATCACCCTCCAGGGTGGATGGTCATGCCACAATCCCTTCTCCTCCATTCTCCTCTTGGGATCTTGGGCATGCACTCCCATGTGCCCGGCGTGAGTTTAAGCCACCGGGTCCAGGACTCAAACCATGGTCGACTACATGGGAGTCCAGCGACATAGCAGCCATTATGCCAACTGCTGGTCCCTGATGACGAACGCCTTAATTGCATTGTCCTTGGGTACACATAGGGCACAATTCGTGCAGCAAATAGGCTGCACGTGGCCTCGGCCCTTTTTGGCATGATCATTTTTCCTTTTTTCATCATCTTAGAAGGGAGGCTATAAGAGAGAAGAACTGCAATTTATGAATCCTAGAGTTTTATCTCCTGTGTACCCTTGAAAAACGGTCTGATTATTGCTTTCCTGTGATTAACTGTCTCAGGGCCCTCTTTATGTCTTTATTCCTCAGACTGTAGATGAAGGGGTTCAGCATGGGGGTGACCACAGTGTACATCACTGAGGCTGTTGCACTTGCATGTGAGCTGTGGGTCGCCCCAGCACTGAGGTACACACCCATACTTGTACAATAAAATAAGAACACAACTGAGAGGTGAGAGGCACAGGTGGAAAAGGCTTTATACTTTCCTTGAGCAGATGAGATTCTATGTATAGAGGAAAATATCTTAGAATAAGAGTAAAGGATCCCAGAAAGGGTTCCACCACCCACCAGACAGGATGCAAAATACATGACCGTTTTATTTAAAAAGGTGTCAGAGCAGGCAAGGTGGACCACCTGATTAAATTCACAGAAAAAATGGGGGATTTTCAAATCTGTGCAGAAGGACAGCTCTGACACCAATAAGCTATGTAATAAGGAATGCAGAACACTCATGATCCAGGTTGTAAAGACCAGCAACACACAGAGCAGGGGGTTCATGATGACTGTGTAGTGCAGAGGGTGACAGATGGCCACATACCGGTCATAGGCCATCACAGTCAGCAGAAAGACATCCAGACCTGCAAAGCATGTAAAAAAGAACATCTGGGTGATGCAGCCTGCATAGGTGATGACCTTGCTCTGTGTCTGGATGTTCACCAGCATCTTTGGGACGATGGTGGAGGTGAGACAGATGTCAGTAAAGGACAGGTTGGAGAGGAAGAAGTACATGGGGGTGTGCAGGTGGGAGTCTGAGATGGTGGCCAGGATGATGAGCAGGTTTCCACACATGGTGATCAGGTACATGGAGAGGAAAAGCCCAAATAGGAGGGGCTGCAATTCTGGATCCTCCGAAAGTCCCAGAAGATGAAATTCTGAAATTCGTGTGTCATTCCCTAGTTCCATGTGGTAAATAGAACTACCAAGAAAGAGAAAAATAGCATGAGTACTTTTCATACAGATATTACCAACATTGTGGAAATGTTATAATCTTTATTTTGCAGTCAAGAAAAATTATTGATTGGTATTATTACATTTCTGAATTAGTCTATTCCTTAGATGGGAGAGTCTTCAAAAAGTTCACATAAAATGTGTGTTAAGAAAAAACTATGCAAACTGAGATGTATTTCATGTTTGGTAAATTCTGTTTAAAAGCCAAAAGATGTATAGCAATCAAATGTTTTTATATATACATATATATATATTCTGAAAAAATGAAAAGATATTTGTTGATTATGATATGTATAGTAATGTTTTTGTCTTGATTGATATGGTAATTGTTCTGGAAAGAGAAATGTTATATACCGTAAAGTTATATGTGATTAAATGTAATATAAAAATAATAAATTTTAAGAAGAAAAAAAGTATGCATAGATTTTTAAAAATTTTGTCCACAAATAAACTCATATTTTAATTAAATTTTCCACAAATGTTTTTAAGTACTTTCATATTTTTCCTAGGAGATATATATATGAATATGGAGGATAATTTATGTTCTCATAGGTAATAAAATTGTCTATAAAATTTGTTTAAAGTAACAGAATTAGTTGAAAGTTAGAAGGGAGAAAAGATAAGAATCTTATTAAACTCATTGGAAGTAGATCAGAATATCCCTAAAGATAAAACAATTACATGTCAATTAAAAATGCTAAGATAGGGACCAACAGTTGGTGTAATGGCTATGTCACTGGACTTCCATGAAGTCAACTGCAGTTCAAGTCCCAGACCCAGTGGCTTAAACTCATGAAGGGCGTGTGTGTGTGCGTGCCCAAGATCCCGAGAGGAGAATGGAGGAGAAGGGATTGCGGCGTGGCCATCCCCCCTGGGGGGTGATTTCTCACTTTCTGTCTCTCTGTCTCTGTCTTTCTGGTGAGTGCACGCGCCCTATAGCAAAAACCTCTAAAAAAAATTCTGGTGATTGACTGTTTAAAAAATAAATGGAATAATAATAATAATAATGACGGGGGGGAAAAAGAGAAGCTATTGGATGATGAAATGGGGATTTTAATGTCTCTGTATTGACTGATATGCATGGTATTCCTTCTGTTAAAAGAAATGTAACTGTAAAGTTATATGTGATTCAATATAATATAAACAAGATTATGATGATAAATAAATAAATTTTTAAATGCTAAGATAAAAAGGAAACATATAAAGAGCATTTACAATGTGCACAGGATTTTATTCATGCCATTACATAAAAATGTGTATTAATAGGGATGTTTGCATAATATAGACAGAAAAAATTTAAGAGGCACTAAGAACTTATTTTAAAAGAATGACAAAGAGAAAGTAATTAGGCTAATTACACCAATTTCAATATGACTATATTGAATTGGATGAGAGTTTAAAGGTAACTTCTGGAAAAATTATGTCAAATAGTATTAATTTCATGCCATCAACATAGGTCATTGACTCAACATTAAATTGTCAAAGACTTGGAAATAAAAGAATATAACAAGAAGTCTTAAAATTCAGGAAACGAGGGAACCAGCAGTTAGCGTAATGGCTATGTCTCTGGACTCCCATGTAGTCGACCGCAGTTCGCATCCCGGACTCAGTGGCTTAAAACTCACGCTGGGCACGTGTGCATGCGTGCCCAAGATCCCGAGAGGAGAATGGAGGAGAAGGGATTGTGGCGTGGCCATCCCCCCCCCGGGGGTGATTTCTCGCTTTCTGTCTCTATATCTCTGTCTGTCTGGCAAGCGCACGCGCCCTACAGTGAAAAACCTCTCCAAAAAAAAAAAAATCAGGAAACGAGAGTATACATATAGAATTTCATTGTACATAAAGATATTAAAATAAAATATATTTAAAAATATAAATAAAAATTTAAAAAGATATACATATACATATATATACATATTCAAATATACTTATGGAAGGTGAAGGTAATCTTTAGTGAACTGGTAAAGCGTAATGCATTTCAAACAATGTGAGAAGGTGATGTGAGTTGAAAAATGATCTAACTGGGCCAGCCAGAGGTGTGGGAGTTCGGGGTGGCTGGATCCCACATGCTAACTCTGTGGTTCAAGTCCTGGATTTGGTGGCTTCAAAAGCATGCTGGGCACATATGTGTATGTGCCTCAAATCTCAAGAAGAGAATGAAGGAGAAGGGATTGTGGTGCGGCCATCTCCCTCTGGAGGTGGTACGTTCTCTCTCTCTCTCTCTCACACACACACACACACACACACACACAATCTAACCACAGGAAGCCAAAAGGCACAATATGGAATAACAGAGATATGAAAACAGCATGAGAATTAAGGATGAAAAAAGTTTGTATATTTAAAAAAAATTAAGGGTGGGAAGTGGAACAAAATATGAACAACTAATAGACTTGGCTCTGCAAAATGTATAAACTTTCACATATTCTCACCCAAGTCCTTCGATACATACGTGCACGAAAGAACTAAATTACGACAACCAAGATGATGGAAAAAATGCCAATATCTTGTACAAAAAGATACAATTAAAAAAAAACAAAACTAAAAGCATGCTGAACCCATTGTCAAAATCAAAGGATTGCACAGGGAATTTGCAAAAAATGAAAATTAATGGTTAATGAACCCACTCGTGTATTTGGTCTCACAGGTAAGGAAATAATTACAAATTAAAGCTCTCTTTCATATGCCCCCTTTCACTTCATAATTAATTAAATACTTTCTATCTGAATTTCCAGTGTGAGAGGAGGCACTATGGAATGGATTCTTCATGAACTTCTGTTGCAAGGTTGTATCTGCATACATACCCTTGGACTGAATCTAATCCATTTGGAAACATAGGAGTATAGATCTAACCTTATAAATCAAAGTGATATGGCCTTGGGTGAGCAGATGGCATGGTGGTTAGGGCACTGGACTCCCACATGGTTGACTGCAGTTTGAGTTCTGGACCTGACAGCTTGAAACTCATTTCAGGTATGTGCATGTATGTGTGGCCCAAAATCCAAAGAGGAGAATAAAGGAGAAAGGATTGCGGTGTGGCTATCCCATCTCAGGGGTGATTTCTCTCTTTCTGTCTTTGTCTCTCCAGTGACTGCACACTTCCTATAGCAAAATTTTCTTTAAAAACAAAGAAAGCTAAGACCTCACTTCACTGCATGTCCGTTCATACCTAATATTCCATTTCTCCATTCCACTTACTTTCAAAATATCTTGGACTTCGTCAGTTTTACTGGAAGTACTTGACACTTCCCTCTCCCCTTCTCTTTTTTTCCTTTAAAGATGTTAACATTATATTTACTGCTGAGTGAAGCAAGCCAGGCTATGAAGGAGAGACATTGTATGTTTCCACTTAACATATACCGAATGCCCACACTCTATGACTGAAACTGAATGACTAAAAGCTATAGGAACTCAGTAAATGGCTGTAAATACCAGATATAGGGTGGGAAGAAGGTAGGTGAAGGAATAGAGTGAGGAAGGACATGAAGGAGAAAAATAGAGAGGCACTGGATTAATGGGACAAAGAAATAGGGTATTATTTGTTTAAGATAACTTTATAATATTATTAACTGGACTGGGGAGAAATGCACATGTGTTGGAATATTCACTTTACAAGCTAAATAATGTGATTGAATGTATTAAAAGAACTTAAAATAAAATAAAAAATCTAAAAAGAAAAAAAATATTTTTATTTCTTAAGAGAGATTTTTGTGTACAACCTAAATGATGTATAGCGATTTAATGTATAAATAATAAATAAATAAATAAATAAATAAATAAATAAATAAGAGATTTTGCTATAGGGCGCTTGTGCTACCTGGAGAGAAAGAGAGACAGAGATACAGAAAGAGAGAAATTACCACCCAGGGGAGAGGGCCACACTGCAATCCATTCTCCTCCATTCTTCTCTCAAAATTTGGAGCACACAGGCACATGTGTCTGGTGTGAGTATTAAGCCACTGGCTCTGGAAGTTGTAATAAGGTTGACTACCTGGGAGTCCAGCAACATAACCATTGTGCAATCTGCTGGTCCCTTCATTTTTAAAATTTTATTTATACTCCTTTTTTTTTTACATTTAATCTCTGTACATCTTCACAGCATACAAAACTAATTTTCTCAGCATAAATACACTGCATATGAGTCCAAAGATATTACCAAACACATTATCATCAATCAGATTTCCATTACCATCATTTCATTGTCAACAATGACCCTTGCCTTGCTTAGTCAAAGGACCCTTGGCTATTTAGCATCACAATTAAATCCATTGATAAGTAAGCAACCACAGACCTCTCTTCCGCTGTGAGCTAGGCTGGTCTGGTTCTCAGTTCACCTTGGGTAAACATTCTGGGCTTCCATCATCCTTGACCTGCTTCTGCAGTGTCACCTGTGCTCCTAGACTCACCTTATGGGGTCTCTGAGAGCACAGCCTCTGCATGGAAGCCTAAATTCCTCGATAGGTGGTCTCTGATGGAGACTGGAGCTGTGTTCCAGACAAGGCAGTGAGGAAGAGTCAAGTATCAGTTGCTGAGCCAGACTCAGGAATCCAGAACAAACCACCATGTTGCTTCTTGCCCAACTGTGCTCTCTGAAGGGCAACAGCCAAGGAGATATCTACAGCTCCCTCCCTAATTGCTACTCTGAACTCTAAGCATGTGATTTCAGACACTGGTCTGGATGGAAAGGAGTTTTCTGCAGATGGTCTGTTCCCAAGAGATCAGATTAGAAGTCAGGTGAATTCCATTTTTATTACTCTTCCCCATGGTTTACCCTGTGTTGCACAAGTCTAGCCTTCTACTGTTCCCAGCTAAGTCCAGCTGCTGCTTCTCACAATGAGAGAAGAGGCAGAGGCTGGAGAAGAAGGGAGTTTGTTTCTGTAACTGGTTATGGGGAGACAGCTAACAAGTATCACCAGACTGTCCTGAAATACTCAACATGTTCTTGCTATTCACAGGGC